ACATATGTATATACATATATATAAATATATATATGAGTGTATGTGGGTGTGCATACTCTTGTCTATTGATGTGTGAGTACGCTTTACGTAATAAAACATAAACAAGTTGCATTGAAATGCAATATATAGTATAAAGAAGAGTAAAAGCAAATTATAGAAATATATGTATATTAAATATGAATATATACATAAATATACACACGCCCCCACATAGACACAGAAAGAGACAACGCGGCATCCTTTRAATGAATCATATCAAGCCAACTTTCTGGCGTACGATGAATTCACAATGCCCTTAAAATAATATGTACATATTCCAATCATTATTCCAATTTGGGCATTAATAATAAATTTCCCAATTAATATTTCCCAATATTATTTAGTCAAATTGGGCCTTAATAATGTCCCCAGCTATCTAAAAATGGCCCACAAAACATGTCCATCCAGCATTCCCCTTACACTTACCGGACTAAAGAAGCCCTTGAGTCGTTCCGGATCCGGCTGATGCTTAAGTCCACCCACGCAGCGCGGCCGACTGAGGGCAATGGCTTTGGCAACGGCGCTGGCGCCGCGACTCATGCGCGGGACTCGCGGCTGTGCGTTGTTCGCATTATTTCGATTGGCCGAGTTGCCGCCACTGTTGCTGCGTGCTGAGCCGCCGCCGGCGCCTCTGCCGCGTCCACGTCCGCGGCCGCGCGTTGGTGTCGATGGCGCTGCCTGCACTGCTGCTGCTGGATTGGTGCCGAAGGCGCTCAAAGGATTGCACAATGCGGAGGACTCATCTAGGGAGAGAAAGAGCGAGAGAAAGTTTTGATTAAAGAGCGATGCAGTTGGGGCACATAAGAGCTCCCTTACCTCCAGAGTTATCCAATGCGCTGTAGTTGTCCTCATCGTGCGATTCATGTTGGCTGCCACCGCTGATGCTGTTCGTGTTGCTGTTGTTGTTATTGTTGTTGTTGCGCAGCTGCTGTGTGGCAGTTATTGAGGAAAAGTCGTTGGGCTGAAAGATCACATCCGGCAGCGGATCGGATGAGGATAATATGGTTGTTGGCGGCAACATGGAGCAGTTGTTGCTGCCACCGCCGCTATTGCTGTTGCTACTATTCACAGCTGTGCCGGCGGCAATAGTTGCTGCTGCTGCCGTTGTGGTTGTTGTTGTCGCCATTGCGCTGCCATTGCTAGTGGACGAGGAGGACGAGCACATGGTTAGATCAATCTGAGCCGCCAGAGCATAGGCCATGCTATTGTTGTTGCTCTTGCTGTCGTTGCTCAGCTCCGTTTCTCGGTCGAGGCGTGGCATCAGTCCAACTGGATATTCTGTTGCTGCTGCAGCTGTTGTTGTTGTTGTTGTTGTTGTTGCTGCTGCTGCTTCTGCTGCTTCAGCCGCCGCCGCCGCCGCTACAGCTGCTGCTGCTGCTGCAGCAGCCACAGCGGCTTTGCTTTGACGCTTGCGCGTTGCCTTTGCTGGAGTTCCAACAGTTGCCGTTCCCGTTCCTGCTCCAGTTCCAGTTGCTGTTGCAGCTGCTGCTGTACTGCGTCGTGTGGCACGTAACAGTCGCTGCTTTATGCAACGTCCCGGCGTTTCAATTGCTGACAGGCGTTGCTGCATTTCCTGTAGTTGCTGCTCCTGGTGCGTGGCATCCAACTCCTCCATCTCATGCAACAGCTGCTGCTGCACCTTCAAGCTATGATTCAGCTCCGAAGCAACCATATCGATGGCCAGTCGCTTGTGCAGCAGCTGCACGCGCCGCGACTTGCTGCTGGACTCCATCAGCTCAGCTGCGGCGGCGGCTGCTTTCGCTGGCGTCAATTCGTTGGCATTGCGCTTGGGTCTGCCGCGCCGCTTGCCAGTGCCGCCAGGCGTGGGCAGTGGTGACGACAGCTGCTTGCGACAGACCGCAGCCGCCACAAGGAATTCCTGCGCCAGCTGCAGACTGCCATTGCTGTGGGCGTGGTCGCTCACTGTTGGTGTCCCTGGCAGCGGCAACTGTTGCTGCGGCTCCTCAAGCTCCGTATTTAGTATGCGCTCGTGCTTCTGCTTGCGACTGCGATGTGTTGGCTGTTGCTGCTGCTGATGCTCGGGTGTTGTTGTTGTTGTTGCTGCTGTCGTTGGCGCTACTGCTACTGGACTGACAGCAACTGTTGCTGCTGTGTCATTGCTGCAGTTGTGCGTCTGTTGATCATTTTCATTGTTGTCCAGGCGCCGCTGTTTATTCGGCGGCAACTAAAAATCACAAAAATAAACGATAAGAAATCGATTACTCAAATTGTTTCGAAATTTATGAACCAGTTCATGAGCCATGTGTAATCTATATATGAAATATCTGAAAATCAGTATTTTATTCAAAATAAGTCGATACTTATCGATATTGAGCAAATGTTACAGATATCAATTCTGTAAAAAATCGAATTAAATTATTTGTATTTTTATTCGAGATAAAACTAAATCGATATATTATCGATGTTGGCGGAATACCGCTAAAAACAATTTGTTTAAATTGATAATTCATATATCATTTTCGAATCGTCGATTTGATTATATCGATAACAATATTCGCATTTATCGATAAGTAGGTAAATGGAGTAAAAATGCTTTGGTCTGCAGCCTCATTCATCAATATGTCTATGGAATCTCAAATGTTGCCTACCAAATATTATACGCACACACACACACACACAGATATTATTTTTCTATTATAGTTCACTTACGCCACTGGGAGATTCTGCATCTGTCTGTAGGTGTTGCTGATGCTGTTGCTGTCGCTTCAAATGATTCTCATTGTTGTTGAGTTGCTGCTGCTGCTGTTGCTGTTGATTGTCKGGCTTATGATTTGGATTCAGACTGAGATTTAGATTCAAATGGTTCAGATGATTGCTTAGTTGCTGCTGCTGCTGCTGCTGATGCTGTGGCGGTGGCGTTGGTGATGGCGGCGTCTGTTCCGTCTCGTAGGCACTTTGCATATAGGAGGGCGTCAATTGCGGATGTGGGCTGCCCTCGGGCGTGTCCAATATCTCAATCGAATCGATTATCGGCTCTGCTCCGCGAGCAATAGTTGCTGCTGCAGCAGCACTTGCTGCTGCTGCTGTTGTTGTTGTTGTTGTTGTTACTGCTGCTCCATTTGCCATTAAACGTTCCGTTAGCTGTGGATATTTTGCAGCAGATGTTGAATTGTTGCCGCTGCCGCTGCTGCTGCTGTTGCTGAAGCTCTTCGGCGGCGCTGTTAGCTGGCTGAGCAATATATTGGAGTTGGGTGAGGCGGGATTGCTGGTGCCGCTGCTCTTGTTGTTGTTGTTGCTGCTACTATTGTTGGGGGTGGTGATTGCTTCCTGCATCTGCAAGCACTCGAGCAGCAGGCGATTCTGTGGTCTGCTAACAGCTGTTGCTGTCGCATAGCTATTGCCCTGAGTAGTGCTGCTGCTGCTGCTGTTGTTGCTGCCGATGCTGATGCTGCTGCTGCTGTTGTTGACATGCGCCGGCGAGGAACCCGGCGAAGGCGATGAAGTCAAATCAACCATATCCACAATATTATGTTGTTGTTGCTGTTTTGTTAGTTGCAATTGCTGTTGCTGTTTCGTTAGTTGCAATTGCTGTTGCTGCGGCACAATGCCATTGCTGCTCTGCGCTGGTGGCAAATTGTGAAACATTTTTGGATCATGCTCCTTGGACAACGCATCATCAATGTCCATATCGTCAGAATTGCGACGCAGCTCATCCGTTTCGCCATCAGCAACAGTTGCTGCTGCTGCTGCAGCTGCAGCTGTTGTGTTGCTGTCGCCGCCATTGGTGAGCGTTAGCTTGGAAGTTAGCACCTTCTCTTCGAGCACAGCGCGCACCTTGTGCTTGGGCGAGCAAAGATTCTTGATGGTCAGCTTAAGCAGAGGCTGTTGCTGTTGCTGCTGCTGCTGTTCGTTGCTGCTGTTGCCCGTCTTAATGGTGAGCTTGGGCACCAACTGTTGCTGTTGCTGCTGCTGTTCATCATCGTCGAGCTCAATGGACTTGGTCTTGATAGTTAGCTTGGGTATGGACTGCGCATTCTTTGCATCATGCGTCATGATCACCGTGTGCTGCGGCAACTGTTGTTGCTGCTGCTGCTGCTGCAACAGCAGTTGCTCCTGGTTGCCCGTTTTGATGGTTAGCTTTGGTATTTGTTGTTGTTGTTGCTGCTGCGGGTGCGCGTGCGGGTGAGGATGCTGTTGCTGCTCCTCGCTGCTAATGCAGCTGCTGCCCGCATGCGTTGTCTTGATCATCAGCTTAGGCACCGTGGGCTGCTGCTGATGCTGCAGTTGCTCGCTGGCCGAGGAAAAGGAGCTGGCAGATGAGCTGGACGCAGACGCCGGGGACAGACTGCAGCTGATGAGCTGCGTTTCGCTGCCGCCATTGCCCTCCAATTTGGTGGTTTTGATGGTTAGCTTGGGCACTGCACCGCCGCCGGCAGCAGCAGCAACGGCAGCAGCTGCTGCTGCAATTGCATTCACCGACTTCAGCGGGCTGTGACAATTGCTGGACTCCACAGCGGCGGCGGCAGCGGCAGCGGCAGCAGCAGCAGCAACTGATGCATCGGGCATCTTAATAATGAGCTTCGGCACCACGCTACTGTCCCGTTCCTCGTTGGCGGCTCGTATTGTTAGCTTGGGCACGATGTGGGGCAGCTGCTCCTCGTCGGCGCACGAGGAGGAGGAGCAGGACGAGGATGCATCTGAATTGTTGGACATATTATCTTGTGCTTTGATTGGCCTAATTGTTAGCTTAGGCACAGTGCCCTGCTGTCCCATTGCATTCGTTGCTGTTGTTGCTGCTGCGGCTGCAGCAGTTGTGGCTGTTGTCGTTGGCAACTGTGTGGGCAATTGTATGCGCAGCGGCTCGACGCGTCGCTCATCGTTGCCCGCCTGAGATTCGCTTGTGCTGCTGCTGCCGTGCTTGGAGAGCTTAAGTATTAGCTTGTGACTGCTGCCACCGCCGCCGCCGCCGCTGCTGCTCTTGTTGTTGCTGCTGCTGTTATTCTCCTCGCCATTCACATCTAAAGCTGTGGCGGCCATTGTTGTTGTTGTTGTTGTTGCTGCTGCTGCGGCTGCTGTTGCCGTTGGTCCACTGCTGTTGTTGCTGCTGCTGCTGGGGCTATATGGCAGCTGCGCATCGTCGCGCAGTCTGTGCTGCGGCGGCGATGCTGTGGTGCTGGTTATTTGACCCACCAACTGATGCTGTTCGTGCAGCGATTGCTGCTGCTGCTGCTGAAGGTGTTGCTGTTGTTGCTGCTGCAGGTGCTGCTGTTGTTGATGATGATGATGTTGCTGCTGTTGTTGGCGCTGCGTTGCTGCTGCTGCTGTCGACACATTCAATTGTTGTTGGTGTTGCTGTGACGATGTAGAGCTAACTACCTGCTGCTCCTCTTCCTCCAACTGTTGCTGCTGTTGTTGGATGATGATGATGCTGCTGCTGCTGCTACTGTTGCTGGTTGTTGTTGTGGCTGCTACTGTCGTCGTTATGCCGGACTTGCAGTTTGTGGAACCTACACTAGAATTCGAATTGGAACTGGAACGTGGACTGACGCTGGCACTGGAGCTGGAGCTGGCGCTGTTAATGTTGCTGCTGCTCGTGGAGCTGTTGCTGGAGCAGAGGGGTGTTGCTGCCAGGCTAACTGAAGATGATGTTGCTGCTACCTGTACCTGTTGCTGGCGTAAATCATTCATTGCTTTATTCCTTTATCCGCACCAAAAGCAATTTCCTTTTGCCTAAAAAGAAATTTAAAACAAATGCAAAATTTAGTATGAAGCAAATTTGAAGCCTTATGAATAAATATTATAATATAAGAGAGGCGTTCAATCAGTTTTCTGCTAGGCGCTAAATTTATCAATACTTGTGCACATTTACAACAATTAGTCGTTTCTAAATATTGCATAAAACTCTATTTCTATCACAGTTTAGAGTTGTGCAGATGAATATTTTGTATTTCATTATTATTTATTTATTTTTGTCACTAACTTTTGCTTGATATTCTTTACAACAATTTCTGGTCGAGTTGCGGATATCCCAACAAAAACAACAATATAAACTGCACCAACGATAGAGATGTGCAATGCAACAGACTATCGACTAAAGATGGGAAATTAAACTAAACACGAATTGCACGAGTTCCTGCAACCAACGAGAGACAGAGAAGAGAGAGGGAGAGAGACAGAGAGAAGAGAGACAATAAATAAGATTATTTAGCTATTCAGTAAATGTATTATTACTAAATAAAAAACATATGTAAATATCTACGAAAACAATCAATTACTCAAACTTTATTTGAATCTGATTAGCCTTTGAAAAATTGTTCCGTTATTTTCAATTTTTATTTATTTATATTTAGATCTAAAGTGTACCGAATAAATTAAATCAAATTCAGACTCTGGACGTAGCCATTAGATCAAAATTAGTGTTTCAGGTAT